AAGACTGATGATTTAAAAAGGTCGCTTTTGTACTTCATCTACCTGAACAGGTGTTAGGGTGTCAGCATGTCTCGGCTCGTCACTCGGCACAAGTTTGTTGTTCGCGGGTACGACTAACAGGTTCCTTATTAAGCTGCCCATTATTATCCTAATCGTTGTTGTCTTTATTGCGTTTTTTTGTTCCACACATTGTTCAGCATTTTGTAGCCATATGTTGGATGGCTGAATTTGTTTAGTGGCATATCAACATCTATATGGCTTATTTAATGCCGAAATCTAGATATTTTGAACACAATTTTATGACTTCAACTAAATATATTTTGAACGTAATTGTATGCCTTCAACTACAGATAAAAATAAAATGTATTGTTGGTCCTTTTGGTATAAAATGTATTGTTGGTAATTCTACTATAAAATGTATTGCTGATCATTTTGCTGTAAAATTGTATTGTTGGTAATTTTACTATAAATAAGTATTGTTGGTAAGTAATTAAACTATAAATAGCCATTGTTGGTAATTTTTCCGAGTTCGATCCTTACTGGGTATACCATACTTTTGGCCTCGTGCCACATCTAAGCTACGCCTAGAAAACCAGTATTGTCGGAAATTTACTATGGATTGAATTGTTGGTGATTTTATTATAAAGATGTATTTTTTATATAAAAATGTATTACTGCTTTTTTCCTATGAAAATGTATTATTATACTTTCATAGTGTTTTATTTTTGTTTTATATTCACTATTTGCCCATAGTTAACTGGTACTACCACCCCAGGGTGAACCTGGAAACAACAGCAATTAAGAGGTTTGTTCCATGCTACCTAGAACCTCCAATCTCCTGATCAGAGGCCTTGCTGTCGGATGTAGTTTATCGTCTTACCCAGGACTAGCCATATGTTGCGCAGTGTACTTCTTGAGTGTGACTTTCTGGAAAGGTTAAAGAATATATGGTCTAAAAGTTAGTAATAAAGTCATTAATGGTAAAAGCACAAAATTCTTCATGGCAAAAATGCAGACAAATCGGTTTTTATTATCGTTTTTTTTTTCTTTTCTCAAATAAATGTGAAATAATTAACAATTTGTTCTACTTAATTTAGAATCACATAGTGATGATTTTTTTTTTTTTAGCTTAGACAGTCCCTAACTTAGTGAAGATCATCCCTCTAGTGGAAAACTACGTATCGACTGAGAGATCGTCACGCTGTAGACTGATTTCTTTCAGTTTAGACAGTCCTTAACGACTAACTTGCCCTACTCTACATCGACTGCAGGCTTCTTTCTCTGCAGATTACTACAGCGCGCTTGAAGGATTATATTGTTCAACTCCAATGTTTGTTTTTATTCACATGTTTTGCACTGAGTTTAACATCAATCACACCCCAACTATTGCTATAAGAAAATGACACTAATAAAATTAATATCGTTCTACTCCGATTGGCATTAGAAAATGCTTCATATTGTATATAATATCCACCCCACGCATGATGTATAAGTATAGGAGGAAGTAGATCTTTATTTTGAATATCAAGTTGCTAAAAAAATTATCAAGGCCGAACAAAATGCAATTTTTTATCGAAAATAAATCCCAACATGACGTGCAACAAAATCCGTCTTTTTGGTAGTGCATTAAGTTGCTTATTTTCTATTCATAAAAAAAATCTTTCTTCTTGAATTAATCTTAATAAACTGAATAACACTGAAGGATGGGGTTGCGCAAAATACATCAGTTATTTTATTAGAGTGCAAAGCGATTGACATAGCTTGGTTTTAAAGTGTTAGTCAAGTTGAATGCTCGCCTTCATTTAATCGCATTCCGAAAAACGAAAACAAAAAAGTAGCATTAGGAGAAAGGGAAAAAACTCTTACATTATTTTTCTAACCATACACCTTTTAAATTTTAGTGTCTGAAATATTGTTGTTATTTTTATTTGTTATCTATCTATCTATCTATCTATCACAATATATTTTTATATATCTATCAATATATTCTTATCTCTCTATCTATCTATCTATCTATCTATCTATCTATCTATCTATCTATCTATCTATTTGTCTGTCAGATTGTCGGTTTATCTGTCTGTCAGTCGGTCTGTCTATCACAGTATATTCTTATGTATGTATGTATGTATATATGTATCTATTTATTTATCACAGTACATACTTACGTATCTATCACTCTACCTACCTACCTACCTATCTATCTATCTATCTATCTATCTATCTATCTATCTCTCTATATATATATGCCTGTCAAATTGTCGGTTTATCTGCCTGTCGGTCGGTCTATCACAGTATATTTTTATGTATGTACATATGTATGTATCTATCTATCACAGTATATTCTTATGTGTCTATCAACCTACCTACCTACCTACCTACTTATCTATCTATCTATCTATCTATCTATCTATCTATCTATCTATCTATCTACTTATCTATCTACTATCTATCTATCTATCTATCTATCTATCTATCTATCTATCTATCTATCTATCTGTAACAACAATTATGTTATATTAAATTCAAACGACATTATGTTTAATTTTTACTTTATTCTTTCTGAACAATCCTTTTTTTTTAAATTACATATCGCTTCCTTTATTTATTTATTTTCATTATCCTGGCTTTTCGAAAAAGATAGTGGAGCGGTTTCTCGTTACCTTTTCAGCTTTATTGAATTCTTCTTTTTGACTGATTACCGGAGAGTCCAATCCACCTGACAAAGGCCCCAGCCAACTCTGCTAATTATACCGTAGCTACAACTTTTTAAATTCTTTTCCTTATAAGTTTGCCCAATTAAACACCGAAATATACTATAAACACGCTTATATATATATATATATATATATATATATATATATATATATATATATATATATATATATATATATATGTGTATGTGTGTGTATGTATGGCAAAAAAGATGTGAAGATACTTATCTATTCGCAAATATAGTTTTAAGAATTCTTGAATGTTTACTATATATATACATACATACATATGCATTCTTGTATATATTTATATACAGTTATTAATATAGATAGATAGAGAAAGAAAGAGAGAAAGAGAAAAGAATATTAACAGACTGAGATAGATTTAAAGAGATAGATGGGAAAAACGCTATGGTAGCTTGACAGTCTGATCAGCTACAAGATACACTTTATTAGTGTCTTATTTATTATAAAACAATAATGGACTACTTTGTTATCGCAATGATATAATCAGTATTTGCTGCTCCAATTTTGACGTCACGTTTCAATGCTTCTCCTGTGCAAAGGGAGAGAAAAAAGGATGAATATAACGAAATAAAAAAATAAAAAAAATAAAAAACACGCTTTACAAAGCTGAACGTCAAAAATAACTCGGCCTTGAAAGAATAAATCTAAAACAAACCAAATGGAAAGAAATACGGCCGATATGGTTGAAAACGAGGCTTTGACGTTGAGAAAAGACAACACAAAAGGCATTCATTGAAAAATCAAGAAAAGAATCATTTCCAATGGAGCACAATGAGTTTTTTCTTCAATGGAATAAACTTGAAATGAAGGCAACTTGTTATCTTCCGTTTTAATAAAAGAAAATAACTAATAAAAATGAATAAGGTTGGGTACCTGATGTTGATTTTGCTCCAATTTAAACGAGAAACAGAAATCCTCGTCAACAGTAATTTTATTTTTTCAGGCATATCACTGACAAGAAATAGACAAATATGAGATCTGCCCGGAATGTATCCAGCTCCATTTTTAATAAACTGAGTTTGATGCAAGTTACCAACCATAAGGGACTTTACTCCCCATCAACAAATATACTCTCACGAGATTACTCTGTGTACAGTGAAACGCCGTCGTGTTTTTGTGTACATTGCCGTAACATTCACAATAACTGAACTAGCAGATGCTTCACATTACCTGCTGTTTTTTTTTCTTTGGCAAAACAACTCATCATTCTAAAGTCCCCGACAACTGACTAGATTTCGTTACTTGTGATTTTTCTTGTGAGACTTCGAAATTTAGGATATTACATAAAGATGGCTGCCGTTTGTTTAACTCTGCGCAGAATGAACAGGATTTAATTCTGTCTGCGCAGGTATATGCGGCTCTCAGTCATCAAATAAGCCTTTAATTTCTAGTAAGTAATTATTTTATATGTTGATAAAACTTGAAGTTGCTAACAGTAAATATGCAGTTTATAATATAGATAGAAGTGTAATTGTTTGGGTTGAGAGATAAACATTGGGTGAAAACGATTTGGATACAAGTGGACATTTTCGAAGTCGGGGCTATACTTTGGGGATCATCATGATGATTTTCATTATAATAACATTTATCTATTGTCCATAAAAACAAGAATGTGAACAAACATTTCAAGTTGTTTTACCTTTTTGAATAAAATGACAAATAATAAATTATCCATTTTGATAAAGGGCGTCAATTATTTTATATTCGGTAACTCAAAACTTTGTTCTACTTTCTCCGTTAGGTGGTAGTAGGAGAGTTTAGTTTTAACTAAATTCATTTAAAAAATTGCATTTGATTGTAATATAAAAGCTGTTATATAATAGTTTTAAATGTTGAAACTCGTATATTTTTTTAATTAATATAATCATTTAACATGAACAATGTTTTCAACATATTATGATTTATGGTCAGAATTCGACTGAAGCACAAAAAATATTGTGTTATTTATGGAGAAGGTTCTATGAATAATCGAACATGACAAAAGTGGTTTGCTAAGTTTTACAATGGAGATTTATCATTGAATGATACTCCACGGTCAGGTAGAAAAGTTGAGGTACATTGTGATCAGATCAAGAATAATCAAAGGGAAAGATGGAAAACATATTCAAAATATCAAAAAAGGGGCGGTGAAAAGTAGATACTTTATAACAACATGAGATTGTGGAGCAAGTGAAATGAACGACTACGAAAACCTGCGTCTTGATTAAAAAAAAATGTGTTATGGAGGAGAATCCTCTTTCAGCTCCTCTCAGAAAACAAAATGATTGATTCGAACAAATGCTACTGAAATTTCTATAAATTAGATTCAGCAATCGAGGAAAAATATCTGGAATAATTTAAGAAAAACTACAAAACTGCATCAGTTAAACACAAGACTGCATATACGATTACGGTTTAGTAAAATTTACCTTGTTCGTCGTATTTAATAAATTTTGCACGTTTGAATTTTCATTTATTCTGGTTTTTATGTAATTATTTCATTGAAAAAAAAAAGTTTTCCTTGGAAGACTGTAAAAAGCACAGAGAGTGGTTCTTTGTTGAGAAAGATAAACAATAAGCTGAAGATAGATTTATGAAGTTATTTGAAAAATAACTGAAAATATTGCCACAAAATAAAATATGCCACAAAATAAAAAAAAAGTTTGGGCGCTAAATCGGATGTTAAAAGTAAGTCAGATATTATGTTTTAATGATCCCTGATTCTGTATTTTTGTTTATCTGATCCTCTCATTAAATGAATATCTTTTTTTAAATCTATTATCTTACTGTAAACATTTTTTGTGTTGATATTAAATGCACATATTTTTTTTACTTTTAGTTTTTACTTATTTTCTCGAATGAGAACTATAGAATTTCCCGCATATAAGATTTATATAGAAGTTTTAGAAGTTAATGTTTCGAAAAGAAAATTGGCGATGCAGTTTTATTAACTAACCAATGCCGACAAAGATGATGGCAATCGTTAGAAGGTTTTATTAAAACCATCTAACGATTGCCGTGAGATGAAATGAAAGAAAAAGCAGGAAACAATGTATTGAGATTCAATAAAGCGGAGATAAAGAATTCACAACTAAAATATGAGACCAATTAACCGTTTAATTAATTTAAATAATTTATAATTTTTAGAGGTTCAATGGTATCTATGATTCATTGATTACTCCTGGTATTATATATAATATATATATATATATATATATATATATATATATATATATATATCGCTATTTGCTCAATATTTTTTCATATTAAACATTTTATGTGTTTAATATAACAGTGAAATGGAAATGTCTCTTGGAAGAAAATGATTAATAACAGAAACAAGACGCCGACGACAAAGCCTATTTCAAGACCAATTTGAAGCAAGACATTCAATTTATAGATAAATATATCTGAGTGCCTCACGTGAAAGGCTTGAACAAATAAGACTGCCAGCTAAGAAACGTAGGAGTAATGGAACTGATTAATTAAACGGTTCATTTTGCTCGGGAATTAACTTTGCCTAAATACAGATAAATATTTTATGTGTATAGATTATTAAAACAATTAAGGGAAGTAATCACACATAAAATTACTAACTTAAGTTGATTTACCTCCCTTCCTACTATAGTTGGGACAGAAAATATATAAATAAATACACATTGATAAGTATTACGTAGTTTGATTTTGATTATCAACGACTGTAGATAAATGATACAGCTCTGTTCAATAGCATTATCATAGTATGTGGCCAAGCAGGCACATTTAGTCTTCTGTTTATTTTTTATATATTGATGTTCATTCGGTACAAAGCTCGAGAGCCACGCGAAGTAGAGGTTTACAGAATAAGAGGCACACTTTATGTGGTTATGTGGAGAAGATAACGGTTAACCCTAGATTTGAACAGGTTAAGATTCTAGTGATTTTCTCGTTATGTGCCCTAGAAATTTCAGCTGTCTCTACTTGATATTAAGCATAAGTTTCCTTTTTGTTTCCATTTTCTCTAAAACTTCGTCGTTGCTCACATATTCTGTCCATGGTATCCTCAGCATCCTTCTGTAGAACCACATTTCTGTTGCTTCAAGTCTCTTCTTCATGTGTTACGCGATTTATAAATATCCTACGATAGCGGCTCAACGAATCTTTTTAACATTTAACATTACAGAAAGATAAGCAGGCACATAAGCACATCGAAAAAGACCCAAAGAAACTTGTAAAATATCAAATACGATTTTGTAGATTATTTGTTGGACACGAAAATGTTTAGCCATCCAGAAAATGTGTGCGTGTTTTTCCCCTTCTGTCTTTATGAATGAGAATTAATCATGGCTATCTAACACAGCGTAAACAAGCAAGACATGACCGCCCGTTTTCAAACAGGATACTCCGTCAGATATTTTACTCAGTACGAAAGATAAAATGGCAGCGTTGTTTAGGTTTCGCCGACGATAGACTTGAAATGAGTGTAAAACGAGCAACGTAGGATTTTCAAATGAATAGCAGGGATATAATTAGGAATGTATGCGTTGTTTGCCTTTAGTCTCCCAGAGAATTATCGAAACAAATATACCTAACTATTTACCTATCTTCTCTTGGGTAAATCTGATTCGTGTGTGTAAGACCGTGTAGGACGTGTGTGTGTACATTATCTATCTATCTATCTATCTATCTATCTATCTATCTATCTATCTGAACAATCCGTGATAGATATTACATGAATATACCAGCTGTTCATCTATTAACACATGTATAACTCTTAATACGCAGAGACACACACGCATGCATA